ATGCCGATCCTTGCTGCTCACCGCCCTAGTCCGTGCCCCGTCCAGTTTACTGGCAGATGCCTAGGAGAGGTGGGTGCTTCTGGGCAAGGGCACCTGCCTCAGTGCCAATTCAACAAGCACTCCTTTTTATCCAGTGTGTGTGTGGGGGGGAATCACGTCCTCCCAAACTGGTATTGCCAGAACCACATGTGCTCAAATGGTGTAAAAAAAAAAAACAGACTAATTTCCATTGCAAGAGAGTAATCTGAATGGCATGGATGGAAGAAATCATGCAGGTAAAGAGAATCTCCAATGTGTTACGTGGTTAATCTGCATGACAGACTGCTAGTCATGGGGAAGTGCAACACTGATGCCGCACCCCTTGGCCGGAGGACATCAGCGTCACTCTCGTATTACGGCTGGCGAGGAATGCAGCGCCTGCATGGTGTCCATGCAGCATGGGCAGAGGGTCCACTGAAGCCTCCGTTCCATCACCAGGCGTCCCCTGAGAGACACACCCTGTTGCTCTCACCTGCTCCTTTGCTTGCTTGATAAAGCTCAGCACCTTCTCCAGGTGGGGGCGGTTGATGAGCGGCCCCATCCGCGTGTCTTCCAGCAGGGGGTCTCCGATTTTGATGTTCTGGGTCTGTTGCACGACTGCCTTGGTGAAGGCCGAAAGGATCTCGCGTTGCACAAACACCCGGGTGCCGTTGCAGCAGACCTGTGGCCGAGACAGAGTGCTTCTGATAGCAGAACACACGACACGAGGCACGGCGGAGATGGCTCGTGACTTTCCGGCATTCGAGGCCGACATTCCATATGGCGTCCTCCCCCCAGGGTGATCAAAAACGTAACCCCCAAGCTAAATAATCAGCACTTCGCTTCCCTTCACAAGACTCCCAATGGCAGCTTCATCAGAAAGCGCCCTTGCCTGGCTCTTCGGTGAACTCTGGACACAAGGGCAGGCTGGGTGAGCCACAGGATGCCATCTTTTACAGACGGGCAAGCAAGAGGGCCTAGAAGGGGCAAAGGCGAGCCGTTAGGTGCCAGTTGGCACTGCCAGAGAGCCCACTTTGCAGCCAGCGGTACCTTCATGCCCTGACCTGGATAGCCCAGGCTAGCCTGTTCTCGTCAGGTCTCGGAAGCTAAGCAGGGTCAGCCTCGGTTAGTACTTGGATGGGAGACCCCCGAGGAAGTCCGGGGTTGTGACGCAGAGGCAGGCCATGGCAGACCACCTCTGAATGCCTCTTGCCTTGACAACCCTACAGGGTCGCCGTAAGTCAGCTGCGACTTCGTGCCAGGATCAGCCTCCCCTTCGTCTGGGAGAAAGAGGACCTGCTACCCTGAACCAGGGCAGAGGGACACAGTACTCAAATTTGGCTACTGCATAAATCAGTTTGCTCTGGAGCCATCTTTCCTGAGCTAAGACAAAAATGTGTGAGCTGGAGGCTAAAAACCTGTGAGCTAGCTCACACTAACTCAGCTTAGAGGGAACACTGCCTGCTACCCTGAACCAGGGAAGAGGGACACAGCACTCGGCCCATTACAGAGGACAAGCACACTCCCTCCTCCAGCCTCAGAGGACCTTGCTGCCTAGCCCCGGACTCCCTGGGCAAGGCAGAAGGCGGCTCTCTGCTTACACCCCCCCACACACACACATACCTCGCCTTGGGTGAGGAAATTGGCCATGAGGGCGCCCTTCACGGCATTCTCCAGGACGCAATCCGAGAAGATGATGAGAGGGGACTTGCCTCCCAACTCCAGAGTAACTGGCTTGATCCCTTTGGCTGCCATCTCCATGATCTAGTGAAGAAAAAACAAACTCAGGATGAGGCTTCAGGAGAAAACCGAGCTCCATGAATTCTCTAAATAGAGGGAAAGGCCCATCTCTCCCCGCCTGAGCATACAGATCTACCCTCTGCTTGAGGGTGCCTTTCCACTCTGCATGGTAAGAATGCGGGCATCGGTGGCCTGGGATAAAGGACACAGTCGTCCCTCTGCCTTCCGAGCCCAAAGGAGTTATGCAATATAAATACAAGTTCGGTTGAGACTCAGGACTGAAATGTCATCCTGTTTTCTGTGATGCTGTGAATGGCCATACGACTCTTCTGCAATAAGGATTCCAAAGGCAGGATAATGACTGTTTTCCTTCTCCAGAGGAGGAGGAAGAGAAGAGAAGAGATTGGACTTAAACCCCGCCCTTCACTTGGGAGTCTCAGAACGGCTTACGAACTCCTTTCCCTTCCCCTCCCCACAACAGACACCCTGTGAGGGAGGTGGGGCTGAGAGAGCTCTTTTGAGGACTGCTCCTGAGCGAACAGCTCTGACAGAACTATGGCTTGCCCGAGGTCATCCAGCAGCTGCAAGTGGAGGAGTGGGGAATCAAACCTGGTTCTCCCAGATTAGAGTCCGCACACTCAACCACTATTTCAAACTAGGCCCAAACACTGGGTTCGAAGCAATGGCCCAGGGCTGCAAGGATGGCAGATTTCCCCTGCATTCCCCCCCCCCCTTAGTAGTCCTTTCTGACCCTGACATGGACTACTATGCTACACAGGTCAGAAGGCTACAGGAGGAAGGGGGGAGAAATCTCTCTCTTCTTCCTTTTCTGCAAAAAGGGCAAAAAAATCCCTGCTTCCTCTCCACTGCAGCCTGCTGATCCATGTGGCTATTTATGCAGGGCTCTTGTTGGAAATGAGCTTCCCTTGGGTCAGAAAGAGGAACATGAGAAAGAGCCATAATGATGGGACTGCTGGATCCAACCCACGGTGAGTTCCATGTTGTGGACAAACTATTCAGGCACTCTGCTCCCCTGTGTGGTAACTCGCTTGAAAGCACTCTCCTCCCAAACCCCATCAGTTTTAGAGTTCCAGCAGGATGCTCAAAGATTTGGAAACAGCAATCAGGAAAGGCAAAAACTTGTCAAAGTCTGGTTCTATACAGTTCCCATCAAGGACGGCAATTCCACCCCCCTGGGTATACTCTATGATACGTTCCCCAGATGCAATAGTGAAGTGGGACTTATCCAGTTAAGGAGTGAGTGTGTGAGTAATACAGATTAACAGTTTTGCACATCATGCTTTTCAATTTTATAAATGACTCACACAATAATTAATCCAACTGATCTTTCTTTCTTGCTTCCCCCTTATTTCTTCTTTCCCAGGTTTTAAAGCTTAGGTCAGAGATGTTGTATTTTGCATATTGAGTCATTTGACTTCATGGTGTATATTTTAATAGTTTGTACCAACCGAGGAAGGCCTTGTGGCAGAAACGTGTTTGGTTTTAACCGAATTTGTAAATTATCTGTAATGCATTCAAGCTTTGTTAATTTAACATATTGTAACCCATTAGGATTTATCCTGTTTTTTAGACTTTCCCCGAACCGCTTGGTTAATTGGTTACCTTATACTCTATGATACTTCTGAACTGGCTTTAGTGCACCAAGCACTTCTCCTATGGAGGACTGCGTGGTAGCTGTTATAAATTTTGTCAGCGTGAAAAGAAGTTGGGGGAGTTATAGGCAGCCTGCCCCATGACAGACACCCTGGGAGATGGGCCGGGGGGAAGGAGAGGGGAGCTATGTTGGTTTTTCAACAGTCCTACGGCTATTTTTGCTTTACCTTGATGCCTGTGGGCACACTGCCGGTGAAAGAAACTTTGGCCACATTTGGGTGATGGCACAGGAACTGGCCCGTGGCAGCCCCACCTTGCGTCACGTTGAAAAGCCCCTTCGGGACGCCGGCTTCGCTGTAAATCTCGGCCAGCAGCACAACAGAGATGGGGGTGAAGGGAGACGGCTTGAAGATCATGGCGTTACCTAGGCGACCCAATGCGTATGGATAAGGAGCAGGGGGGAAAAGTGAGACAGGGTGCGCGTCAGCCTCCTGCGGGCAGAAGTGAGTACACAAAAGGAACAGGGGGGCTAGGAAAATACTCCGATCACGCCACATGGGCAGCTAGCCCAAGGTGATACTTTAAGACTTTTTCATGCATATTGCGTTATTACTTATGGATATTTTGCATATTTATTAAAGGATAGCTGCTTTACGTGGTTGACCCATGAATCTGGAATAGGCTTGATTTGCTTCTGTCATGTACTGCAGCCATGGAAACCAAGCTGAACTTCTTCCCACTAATACTACTTACTCTTCTTGGCTTTTCTTCTAGCTCTCTATTGTACACTCTGAGATACATACAAGAGTCTTCTACATCTAAGATCCAGTTCTAATCTAGTCCTCACACTCGCTTTACTGACAGAGGTAGCATAATTACCAGCACTTCTTACTCTTCATTATTGGTTGATAAATGTTCAAAAATGTTAAAATAGTTTTTACTGTTACATAATAGACTTTTGAGGCTACTTGATCCTTATCTCTTGTTGTTGCTTGTTTAATGCTTTTGATGTTCATTGTTGTTAATGATTATTTAAAAACGAATAAAAATATTTTTTTTTAAAAAAGAATAGGCTTGATTTGCTCCTCAACCATTTCTGGTTTACTATTAGGTATAAGTTTATCCCCCCCCCCCCAATCTGCAGTTGTATCTCACTATGTCAGGGGTCCCAACATGGTGCCCATGGCGCCTGCTGGCATCTTTCCTGGTGCCCACCAAATGCTTTTCCCCAACAAGGCTTCTGGGTGGCTGTGCAGATTAAAAGGTATCCTGTTAAACAGAGCTTCTGCCCAAAGTATTGAAGAGCTGCCATTAGAGTTGTATATAACCTTGATCCCTGATATTTTGTGATTGTCCCCACCTCCTGCGGCAGCCATTTTGTGATTGTGCCCAGCACCCTGTACTACATTTTGATGGCCAAACCACATCCTATTGTTTCACAAAAATGCTTTCTCTATGTCCATTCTGAATGGTTTGGGTTCTCCTACAGTGTTTATATATGCTGCTGCCCAGTATAGAGGTAGGGTGATCCAAGTCCCCTTTATTTTAAGGTTTATATCAAACATGACTTTAATCTGCCCTCCCCCATCAAAATTTATCCAGTACTTTTTGCCATTCATGTACTGGTGACTAACTGATACCGACTGAAAGAGATACAGGAAAAAAAATTAGTTTCATTAGTTCCAAATGTTTTTTTTCTTTAGTAAGTCTGCTTGATTGGGTGAGATCTGGTCCCTCAGATACCTCCAGGAAAAAGTAATCTAATTATAAGAGAATTTACTGACCAGAGATAAACTGGCTTAAATAGGGATCAACCCCTTACGCCTGTAATTTCTATCCTACATTTTTAGTGAAGGTTCATAACATGGCCTTTGTGTTTAGCTAACCCCTTCCTCAATCGGTCAGCTAAATTCTACATCCAAGGCTCCAAAGAGAGTAGCGGAAGTGATACAGGGTTCTGTTTCCTGCCCCATCCCAAGTTTTTCCCCCCACCCACCCACAGCCAGAGTGACTACAGTCTTGGCTTGACTATTCGCTCTCGGGGGAGGGGGGGGAGATACCTGCCCTCTCATCCCTGAAACAGAGCATCTCCTTTACCACAGGCCAACGCCGGGGCTGATTTCCAACAGGCAATCTGGAAAGGGTAGTTCCAGGCCCCAATTCCAACACACACCCCAAGAGGTTCTCTTCTGGTGTAAGCAAAGGATCCTCCAGGGAGCTGGATGTGCTGACCTGAGCGGGAAGAGAGAAGGTGAGAAGAGAAGGGGTATGACTTCAAGCAGCCGGTATTCAGGACGTTTTTTGTAGGTGGAGCCCCATGTCTGTGCCCATGGGGGGGATTTTATAAGGTATAAGCAGTCAGTGCTGGCCTGCTCTATCCATGGCTGCCTGTTGATGTGCAATCTTTTTTTTTTTTTAGGTGGAGATGTTTTCCGCCGTCCAGCGGTCACAGGCTAAGAACACTACACACACAGCACGGGGAAAGGTTCCATCTCCGAAGGCTACAGTTTCAAGTTCAGCCAAACGACAGACTGGAAGATAATGAAGGGTAATTTACTGTGTAACTCTTCTAATGGGGATACATCATAAAACGCCTTGCGCACGGCCGCTACAGCCGTTGTCTGAAGCGCATAACGAAAGGTCATACGAGCCGCAAAAGAGGCATTCTGTGGGAAGCCAGGAATGGCTCTGGGTATCCTGCCAGACGCTTCTGCTACAAATAAGACTGGAGGGGAAAGGACCGTGCATTCCAGACATTACAAGCCAGTTCTGTAACCAAGGGCCCCCTCGTGGCAGAAAGGCAAATAGTGATTTTTGAAAAGATTATACAGGGGATTACACCCTTTCCACCAAGCACAATAGATTTGTTTCCAGGCGCCCACTCTGCTACAGTTTCAAGTTCAGCCAAACGACAGACTGGAAGATAATGAAGGGTAATTTACCATGTAACTCTTCTAATGGGGATACATCATAAAATGCCTTGCGCACGGCCACTACAGCCGTTGTCTGAAGCACATAACGAAAGGTCATACGAGCCGCAAAAGAGGCATTCTGTGGGAAGCCAGGAATGGCTCTGGGTATCCTGCCAGACGCTTCTGCTACAAATAAGACTGGAGGGGAAAGGACCGTGCATTCCAGACATTACAAGTCAGTTCTGTAACCAAGGGCCCCCTCGTGGCAGAAAGGCAAATAGTTTTTGAAAAGATTATACAGGGGATTACCCTTTCCGCCAAGCACAATAGATTTGTTTCCAGGCAGCCACTTTCTCTCTCTCTCTGAAGGAGAGCTATGCCGTTTAAACGAAATAATTCCTGTCCTGTCTGAACACCCTGCCCTTCCCAGGCCCTCTGGTGCTCAGCCACATGTTTGACATCTGGCACTTTACAGAGAGACGAACCCAGCAAAGCACATCTGACAGCACGGCCACTCACCCGCCAGGGAGCCCGCTAAGCCAGCATAATACTGCACACATTGCCACGATACGTCAATATCCGCCAAGGCTTCCAAGAGCGACTTCCCATTATTGATGGTTTCCATTTTAGCGATTTCTTCCCTCCGTTCCTGAAATTCAAACAAAGATGCCTTTTCTTTTTTTAACCGAATGCTCCAGTTCAGAACAAGCCAGCACCTAACGGAAGCAATACAAAACACCCTGAACAAAAGAGGAGTCGTGCCAAAGCATATTCCAATGGTCAGAAGAGGACAGTTATTCGTGCTGCGGGTTCCTCGGTCACAGAAATGGTACGTCAGAGCTGCGCCCTGAAGCAGGAAAACGAAAAAAAGAGGTTTCCAAGGTATACAGAGAGTGACTTCCCTTGGTCAAGTGACCCAAAGACTCGTCCCCATGGATTTGTGAAACTGGACATGTGATCGTTTCCAGGGGTCATTTCGTAGAAAAAGAGCTAGGGGGACTCATTAGCATAACTCATTAGCATATGTCACACCCCCTGACATCACCGGAAGTGTGTCCTCCCCACAGCCGGCGGCGACCTCCAGCGGGCACCAGCAGGTAGCTCCAGGCCCCGCCCTCCCGCACCTCACCCGGGGGGATGGCGTCCCCCCGCGTCCCCCCCCAAATGACCCCTGCCT